TACACACACACACACACACACATGTATGTATATGTTATTTGCGTGTGTGCGTGTGTGTGTGTAATTAATGAAACAATAGTATATGAAGCACTACAATGAAAGAGCAAGTGATAGTGATATGTGGATTATTAACCTTTGTGCATTGATTGTAGCAATTGTTATTATTGGAAATGCAACCCCACATCTAATTTAAATAATCTGAGCTTACCATGAGGTACAACACTTAATTCTATGATAGTTTTCTTTTATACCATTTTCTTCGCAAATCGATAATGACGGAGTTATAGAGGTTATAAACTCCACGACTTTCCAGGAGCAGCGGTTACCTTCCTCCTCCAGCGCCGCGACAAAATGACAAAAAGTCGTTAAGAGCGACGGGAAATCGGACGGATTGTAGCGGATGACGTATGCGAGGGAAGTCAAATGAGCCAATTAGATTCGAGCTGAAACAAGACACTCAATAGAACCAATCAGATATGGAATAGATCATCACGTGACAATAGAAGCTGGGCCTAGGAGAAGGCAGTTGAAATTCAAATCAGTTCCATCATGGCTAGACAGTGTGTAGGTTGTGAGAACAATTATTTCGATTTCACTGCGAAATATCAACAAAAAGAACGAAGCAAGCTTACATCACGGTGTACTGCAGTGAAGTACAATGCCCACACTGTAAACATTGTGTCATTACAGAAATGACAGACACAGTGGATTTGTGGTGCATAGAAAAGTATTTGAAAAAACAAAACGAGTAGTGTAACTTTGCTGTAAACGAACGTAATTCCCGCCAACAACGACCTGGAATACCCGACGATTTCAGTGACCCGCAGCCTGGCCCGTCTGGAGTAGATGATTCAGGTAAGAGGAGGTTAAAACTGTCCTGGGGTCTGGGCTCTCTCTTGCTGGAACATACGAGGTGAAGATTTTGTGTACCAGGCGGGGGTAGGGGGGCGGCACCTCCCCTAAAAGGGGGTTTAAGGGGCTGAGCTCCCTATACAACCCGGAAATGTGTTAATATACTATGCTTATTGTATTCTAGCGATATTTCTCGAAATCCCAGATATGTAGGCCTATCATGGCCTCCCCGGCTATCGAGACCGATATCGTAATTACGCTTCGTTTACGAGGGAAATGAGTGCTAGATTCGTTCGAAACAAGACGAAAGCTATTGGAAAATTATTCTATTCACCCAAAAAATGTCTGGGGTTTGCTTTCCAAATTTACCATACACACACACACACACAACACACATATATCACACACAACCACACACACACACACACACACACACACACACACACACACACATATATACACACACACACACACACACACACAGACACACACACGCGCGCACGCACACACACACACACACACGACACACACACACACACACACACACACACACATATATATATATATATATATATATATATATATATATATATATTATATATATTGTGTGTGTGTGTGTGTGTGTGTGTGTGTGTGTGTGTGTGTGTGTGCGTGCGCGCGTGTGTGTGTCTGTGTGTGTTTGTATACATACATATATATGTGTATAAACATATATACGTATAATACGATCGCCTTCTGTTGCTTCTCTTCCTCTCATCACCCTTCTTCCCCTTTTCTTCTTTCTTTATTATCTTCTTTCCTTTATTATTTTATCTATTTTATTTTTTTTTCTTTTACTTTTGCAACGACGGATACTGCGCCATCTATGGACGAGGCGTGTAAACCTATGAGTGTGAGCTGTCGTATTTTTGTTTTGCTTTTGATAATACTTTAAGAGAACAAATCTCAATCACAAAGGAACCGCATGGAAATTATTTATATATTCAAGCTAAATTTGTATGTAATTGACCAACATTCATAAGTAATTTCGAATTTCAATTTCAATACCAGGACAGGTTAGCGAGGTTTGTTTCTAAAGTGAAAAAATAGAGCTACAGTCTACAATAATTGTAGTTAACAATACCAAATTTGAAATTTTGTAATAATGTAATATAATAGTTATGCTGCAAGATAGTCACAAGATATTTACCAGTCATCTGCTGCACTTAATGTTCGTTGGAGAATTGAAAAGTTTCGCGAGTGAAAAATTGTGGTGTTCTATCAAAACAAACATAAGACAGGGATCATCTCTATATATGTATCAACCATACTGCTTATGTAGTATATTTTTATATATAGAATAAACTCATGTTGTGTTTATTTACATATCATGTTTCGGGTACTTGTATGTATTTAATTTATGTTCCTGACTACTTTTACTGTTTCATTTAGCTTAACTCTCCTTCGAGATCTCTATCGAGTAGTAAACAAAGTTTTGGACTTGTTTATTGTTATTAAATGCATCTATCTATAAAATTGTTATCATCACTATTAGTAGTAATATTGTTGTTGATGTTATTATCTCCATTAGTAGTAGTAATAATACTAGAAGTAGTATTTCATAATTAAGAGTAGTATTTATTATTATTATTATTATTATTATTATTATTATATTATTATTATTATTATCATATTATTATTATTATTATTATTATTATTATTATTATTATTATTATTATTATTATTATTATTATTATTTAGATACTTGTAATCCACATATGGGGCAAATGTGGTTAAAATAACCGCAGGTGAATATTCCTTTTCATTGTGTATTTGTAACAATCGATTATTTTCCCGTTTCTTTGATGTGATATTTCAGCTTCTGTTAACCGTTAGATTTAACTTTTATCATGTATGTATATATGTTTACACATTGCTTTACACACACACACACACACACACGCACGCACGCACGCACGCACGCACACACACACACACACACACACACACACACACACACACACACAGACACACACACACACACACACACACGCAGACACACACACACACACACACACACACACACATACACACACACATATATATATATCTATTTATATGTGTATATAAGTATACGCATACATGTATATATGTGTGTGTTATCATCATCATCGCCATCATCATAAAAAAATAAAGACGAAAAGGTTTGCACAACACCGACTGCATAAGCCTAAATATAGGTAACAGAGCAAATATTAAATGGTTTAAATTATAATACAGAAAGTTTCTGGAGGTCAAATATATTGTAATGTAAATGGGAACAGGATCTGACGAAGTGAAATGTGAAATGTATGTGTGCACTTAAGTACGTGTGTATGTTTGTAGTTTTGTGCATTCACAGACACACACATATATATACACATACATATACAACTCTACACACACACAGGCAAAACACACACAAAATATGCGCAAACACACGCAATATTACTAACCTGTACACAAAATACGCGGAAACGCACACGCAGAGACATGACAAAATAATTAAAAAAACATGCAAACCTACAAATACACATCCACACACACACACCAATACACACAATAAACACCCAAACACACACCACACCCCTTCCACATACACACAAACACACACAGCCTCCTTCAACACACCACTCCACAGACACACACTTACCGTCCCTCGCAGACAGGTGGATCTCCTCAGACGTCGCGGACCAAACTAACCCAACGCGTCCAGATCAGGTCAGTGAGATTTGCGGTCTAGCTTCTCCCGGGCCTGGACCTCAATTGATTCATTTTCACGGAATGCTTACTGTATTGGACGGATTGCCAACAGGCGCTCAAGCCGCCACATGTAATAGTGTAAATAGTCTAACAGGGTGGCGTTCAGCTCGCCACGATGCTTGCAACGTCTGTCGACAAAGTCAATTGGCTCATTAATTTGCCGTGCTCAGTCACAGCTTATTCTTATTCTATGAAGTATGACCGTTATCTCTTTTAATTGTTTCAGAGAGTGGCAGGGGCATCTCGGTGCCTTCTGACCATCTGGACGAGGGGAAGATTCCTCTCTGTGTAGCTGCAGAAGAGTGGCTTGTCCGGTTGCGATGGACCTGTACCTTAAGATTTTTTAAGGTACATAGGATTTGGCGGCACACCTTTGCCATTTTCAGCTAGTCTGTCAGCAAGCTCTTTCCCTTTGATGATTATGTGGCTGGGGACCTACTCTATGATAATTATGCAATGCAAGTATCCTCTGCACAATGGTAAGCATTGTGGTAAGGAGGTAGATGTCATTGGGCATCCTGTGCTCTATATTAGAATCTGTATTATAAATCTGCATGTTATAACCACCTGTCTTTCCCTCAGGGGCGCCTGGGCTAGGGTTCCCATAATCGCAAAGGCTTCTTTCTGCTTGGAGCAATGAGGCATTGTCTGTTACCCTTATAGATTTTGCGGCATCCCTTGCTTCAAAACCAGCGCCTGCAGTTTGGGTTATGGGATCCAATGATCCGTCTGTGTAGTAGGTTCTACAAGCCGAAGGAGTAACGGCTGCAATGACCTACTTGGCTTCTGCCTTCAG